AAGTACTGTATTTTCCATCCATAAGCAAAGATCCTGTCARAACAAGCTCCTCTACAGCAGTCTTTTGCATTTATAGAAGAAAAAGTCATTTTCTAAGAGCCGTTTGCTGCCCATGCTGCAAACTCTGARTAAAATTGTTCATGCCGGTTGTGGAAGGTCCTCTATGGTGCAAATACTGAGATTCTTGGTGTGAATTAAGCCGATAGGTGAGCACCGTGTGCATCTGTAGGAACCTCGGGACTTCAGACAGGAAGGGACCTCAACTTTTCTTAGCTTAAATATAATTTTCTCCAGTATAACTAATATCAGTATCAGTGTATCCATATCTAGTGAGTTTGTGAAGCCCATATAAAGAATTGTTCCTGACTTTGCTTAGAGAAGAACTGTTCTATAGTCTTCTCTTGCTTTATGGGAAAGCTAGTCAGTTCTGTGTTGGATTTCAATACAGAATGAAGCCACAATTGTCTGTGAGTAGCTGATATATCAATTTAAATATATTTGTCCATTAATTAAATCTCATTCTTTTTGCATGCAAATAGATTTCTCTCCAGGGAATTAATTACAGAACAAATTTCAAGCTAATCTATCTTTKCAATCCAGTGTAATATTAAGCTAAAAAACCCACTTTGAAATGAATTTCGAAACCATTTAATGAATTGCTATTGAATGTCTTTTCCAAACAATTTGGCATTATCCAGTTAAAACAAACAAAAACAAGAATCGGGCTACAACTTACTCCCAAATATAGCAATGAAATGCAAGGGCATTGCTTTTGATAGCATTACAGAAGAATTGGAGAAGAACAGTTGATGGATTCCAAAATTACTTGATTTTTATTTTTTGTTAAACCGGCCTAGCGTAATTTGGATTTGATTATGCTCCGGTTGAACTTAACTTTTCCAGGCAATGTGAGACCAAATGTATTTCTAAAATTCCAATATATTTATTTCTAATAATATTAAGCTATCATAATTCTTATCCTCAGGTTGATCATTGTTAGCTGTTTCAAGACTTGAATGTCCTCTCCAGCAGCGATACCAAATGTCCTGCAGTAGAGGCTAACACATGCTGTGTCCTTGATCCTGCAAGCCCTTGCTCCTGTGCTTGTATTTAGTAGTGTCACTAAAGTGTGGCCCTGTGGAGACTTCCAGCAAAGCTGGGTGACTCATAATAAGGAAGTGAAATTTAGAACTCTCTGAATGTCCTCGCATGATACCAAAACCTCCTTAATTTTGTAATTTTGGCAGCACTCTCGTGCATGCTGCCTGGAGAAGGAGGGGGGGAAAAAAAGGAATGAATTAAAATGTGTGTGTATTTATGTATGAAATTTGTCTGGAAATAACACAGCTGAAGAACACAATGGAGGTGCTCGCTAGTGTTGGGCTCTCCTAAGGAAAGTGTCGTGATCTCACCTGTGCTCTGCAAGACCAAGGTTAATGTTCACTGTTGCACAAGATGGGTCCGAAGGAAGCGGTGCTGTCGAAGCTGTGCGGGTTTGGGGTAAGAATGCAAAGTACCCAGTGCAGTGCTGCTGTGGTTTCCTTTGGCGGGTTTTGGATAGCGCTGATCTCACTTGAAAAACMTTCCTTTTTGCTTTTGATTTATTTTTGCTATCAGCTTTGACCTTTGGGCAACTTTATTAGGCAGAATCACTTTTCATTTGATCTGGCTTTTTAACAGCTTTCYGTTTCACCTGCGTTTTCATCCCCGGGAAAGGTTAAGCAGGGGTGACCTCAATCCCATTTTCCTTCCTCCCTCTTCACCACTCTCCACAGTGTGTCCTTTTCTGTAAGCTTTGTAAGAGTTGCTTTTGAGCTCGTGTTTCCGCTGCTCGTCTGTGACTTGGGAGGGAGAATTTCTCATTGCCAACCTCATTGAGCCCGTGCAGTATCACAAAACGGGCTCTCAGCTCCTGCCTTCCCACCTGGATAGTCTTCTGGAGACTTTTATCAGTTATCGGTGGATAAAATGGAAATGGAAAAGATGAGAAGGCAAAAATCTAGCTTCTCTTTGGGATGCTTTAGGTAAGTTTGTAATTCTGGAAAAAGGCTTAAGAGTGTGCAAAGTGTGGCTTAACCTCAAGGCTGCAAAATGAAACACAAAATAGTACTACTGAAATTATGGGTGCCTATCAGATCAAAAATTCTTTATTTTCTTGAGGGGGWTGTGAGGAAACTGCCAGCTAGTTAGTGACGAGGGGACAAGGTGGGGACCACGCGGACACTGTTGAGCAGGGAAACAGCACAAGGATGGAGTCGCATGCAAAGCTACCAGCAGGTAATGGGCAGCGGTTCTTGGAGCCTCAGGTGGTCCCGAGGCATCTGATTGAGGCCGTAACCGGAAAGGATCCAGAGGACATTCCCTACACATGGAGCGAGCTCCTGGTGGGCATCAGTTCCTGCTCTGCTGTCTGCAGAAATTGTGTGCCTGCCTTTTCCCATGAGATAGTGAACATCTGATGTCTGTTTCCAAAACTATGAGAATTACCTCTTGATCTATAATTGGGTATTTTAAATAAGGCAGAGAATTTAATGGAAAGTGCAACTTTGAGGGTTGCTCTTTAATGAGATATTAGCACAATAGTTCTGACTTATACATGAAAACAGGTTTTGGCTGCTTTTGTGAAGAGTCTTCAGTGTGTTTGGTGATTTTTTTTTTTTTTTNGGTGATTCTGATGTTTCTGTAAGTGACAGTCTTACTGAAAAACTGAATTAAATTGGTGCAGACTGATTATTTCTTGCATATATTAGAAATCTGCATTTATACCACTTGAGTTTTTCACATTAGATTGTTTTAACATTTTGAGGTCCCATTTATGGGATAGAGTGGATGTCAGGAACAATTTGATGTATCTCTTCATATTATGTCGTTCTTTGTATGCAGTAAGGAAAAACCTAATGTTTAATGTAATACCACCATTTCACCCTTAATGGCTCTATGTCTGCTTTCAAATCAGTATATCAAATTTTTAGCAAGAGATGATTGTCAGAAATATCTAAATATCATTAGCTGCAGAATATGTGTGTGCAGCCACCATGCATTGCAACTGAAGCAAAACTGAACTTTATAGATTTGTCCATTATTGGTGCAGTTTAATCAGGATAGGCATATCTGAATTGGTCCTTAAAGTTCAAGAGTAATTTTGACTAAAAGAAGGGTCATAGGTAGGTGATCAAACTTGGAATAGAAAGAACAAGAACAAGATCTGTGTGTCTCTTTGGAAGTGGTGAGGTGAAAAATGCCTTCCTTTTCTTTATCAGGAGCAGTGGGGAGGCCTCAAAGGGCACTTGCATCCCAAATAGCTCGGAATGGGAATTGCAGAAACTAAGCAGCAAATACACTTAACAYGAGCTTTAGCCCAAGTGACACTACTTCTTTTTTGCCCTTTTTTTTAGTGACACTACTTTTCTTTGCCTCCTTTTATAATTCCTTCTTTTTTTTTTTCTTAAGTGTTTTGTGCTTATCTGTATTTCATCAATTTGAAAGAGCCTTTTGATTTTTGTACTCTTTTCCATCAGAGGAACTGCAATCATTAATGATGTATCAGAAGGTGGTAAGATTTGTGTGCAGTTTTTAGACCTAAAAGATAATGGATATTTCAAGAAACAATACCTAAAGTTGCTTGGAGAGAATGGATTAAAAATAAATAAAAGGATATGAGAGAGAACCTCCCTTGTGCATTTATATCCCTTAGATTTAAATAAAAAGAAAACTAAGTTATTGTGACAGGAGAAAAAAGGGGTTTGAATGACTCCCAAGTTGACCTTGGACGGCTCTTGAGAGCGGGTGAAGTGGCTGCTCTGTGCACTGGACCAGGAGGACTTGTTGGCTCCTCAGAATATTTTTGCTGYCTTTTYCTGTTAGTAATTGCTGGTCATCTGTGCGTTTTCTCTCTTTGCASTTTTCATCAATGCATACAAGATTCAATTATTCCCCGGAAGAAGTTATACTGCAATAATTTTGGGGCCAGGTTTCCTAAAGATATTTATGCAATAAATGATAGAGCAAAAGCACTTGTAGGATTTACTAGAACATCTGTGCCCATTAGGTGCATAACTGCTGTAGTTTAATGTCCTCAGAGCTGCGGTTGATGAGTGATAACACTTTCTTCAGCCGCCCCTGAGCATGTATACAGCTGACAGGTTCCAACCTATTTACTTGTGCAAGAAATACTTTGCTTTCTAATTTAAAACTTGCATTTAGGCTCCGATGTGATGGAACTCAGTACTGGTTTGATCACGCTGCTGATGTTGCTAATTGGTAATGTTGCTAATTGGCTGGCTTCTCTGGAATACACTGGTGGTGCACCTACGTTTTCTAGATGCAACCACCAGTTCTCACCTCTCGTTTGTTTTTGGTGGTAGGAATCTGGACTGCCATTTAGATGTTGAGTCTTGAGGAAACCCCTGCATTTCTACCCTTTCTCAATACTATTTTAAAAACAATAACTTCATTATAATAAGGTGAATGACATTCTTCCACCAGCTGGAGCCTCAGGACATCTGGTCTTGGGTTCTTCAGTTTGCGCTCTCTATTTGTGCTGTTCTTAATCACTTGCCCCTAGTTTGCCTGGACTCTGGCAGTGTCTTGGGCAAGGAAAGGTGCTTTTCATGCCAGATGAGTGGGAATATCCCTTGAATCGTTGTCCAAAAAATTACCTGCACTCCCTCTTCACTACAGGCAAAGGGTGAGCTAATGTTCTGTGCATTAGAAATTACTTGTAATAATAACCTATCTCATACTTTGATTAGCACGGTCTGAATTATGAATCAAAGCATTAAAATCTGTTAAGTCTTGCATGTTAAAAGTTTTAGATCTGCCCCACCGCTGAATTCTGGCATATGGCAAATTAAATCTGAGAATCCCCAAACTTCAAGGGAAAGTCACTGATGCTTTTAACTGTCTCTTCCATCGTGACAGCTTTAGCAAACATCTGACTTGCTACTCAGGGCAAAGGATTTTTTCTTTCTTAACTTGAATCTTCTTTATTGCCTCTCTAGACTCTCCAAGTAACGTTCCTGCTTGGCACAACTGCACTAAGACTCCAGAAACCAGGATTCCTGCATTTCCACATTAATTGCCTCTTCAGCTTATGTATGGTGAGACTCCAAAGAAAATATTATTGCTTGTTAATATCCTCATCACTGAAAACCACCTAGATTATATTAGTATTTGTACTACATGCAGAATGTCTTTCAAAGTATCAGAGAACTAGTTTATTATTCTTTCCTGGTTTGGTTCAATTGCTTGAAATCTTCTTTGCTGTCTCTGCCCGTATGTTAGATGCTGCTTGTTTCCTTCCAATGGCTCAGACTASTCAGGCATAAGAATTGAATGGCATTATGGTTCAGCTACAAGGGTTTTACATTAGCCAAACTATGAAAAACAGATTTATAGTAGTTTATATAAAGCCAGAGACTCTAAATTGTATTGACGTGTTGCATTTAGGGAGATCTCTCGTTACTACGGTCCATGTGTGGGATGTAAACTGATTCTTTTACGCAACTCTCTTGAGAGTTGCTGCCTTCAGGGAAGCTCATTAAAGTCTAAATTATTTACTTTGCTTTTAATGTGCCAAAATCAAATATGGCAAATAAATCCCTTCTTATGTATTATCAATGAAATAAGTATGAATGTTTTGCCAATAGAAGTTACACTTCACCTAGATTATTCTGTGTATCTAGCTTTGACTTTTCAAAGTAAAGGGAGACTTTTAGTGGACTTTTTCACTGTTGTGTGCTCTATTTCATGTGGCTCTTACCCTTGCTTAGGTAGCTTCAGTGCTGGAGTGGTATGAAAGCTACTTGCAAGAAAATGCATAAAACTAGTACAGACTTTCTGGAAAGTCTTCCAACTAATAACAACTTTTTGCTACAGCGAGTAGTATGTGGGAAATATGTTGAGGTGACAGTTACAGTTTGGGATTTGATCCTACTAAGATGTTAACAGATAMAATTATAAGCAGTTTATTCTCTCAAGAACTTGAATGTAAAAGAAAGATTAAGGAGACGGGGCAAATCCTAACAAAAGGTGAGATGATATTTTTTTTAAAGGCAAAACAGAGTTAAGTAGCARGAGTTGACTGGGAATCTAAGTCTTCCAATTGTCCTGTCTGCTGCTCCACAGTAGACAATTTCAGTTTTCTAGTATTTTTAATTTGTATTTTCTTTTTGCCGCTGCATGAGAGGGAGGGAGTGCAGCATTTCAGCTGTGCTCATGCACAATGCAGGTCCTTTGCATGTGGTGTCCCAGAACTGATGCTTGAGTGAGAGGAGGGCCAAAACTCTGAGGTCCTCCCCTGCTGAATCAAGTAGATATCTCAGTATGAGACAGTGCTCTTCCGATTATTGCCTTGGTAAGGGATTTTCTGATAAAAAAATTCTGGGGGTTTCCAGGTGAATGTGTCAAAAAGGGTAGAATGAAGAGGGAAACACTCCCACACACTGCCTCAACTGGTCATGATATGGCTTTGTGCCATAGCCCATAGACTAGAATAGAGGTTTCCATAAAAAATACTACTAGTCTTTATGAAAACTGTTCAACTTTGTTAAAAAGTGTTAAAAACACATACTACAAAGAAAAAAAGAAGAAAAAACAATAAAAAATGTGTTTTCCCCCTCTCCCCACCTGCTGCAAACTTCCAAGCGGGAGGTATTTGAGTCTTGTTCCCCGCAGCAGCAAAGGCTCAACAGGGAGCTCTGGCGCGGGAAAAGGGAGTTGTTTTTGTAGACAAAATACTGAATTCTGTCTTTTGTAACAAGTAATTTAAATGAAGACTTTGTRGAATTAGCTCTATAGGTATGTTTATTTTATAGACGGAAGTACTGAGATTCCTCAGGTGAGAGCGGTAAGTGGGAGTATTCTACATATTGCTGTGATTTTACAGAATTTGCTATAATGACTAGAATTTGCTGCATTGCCTTCCTTTTCCTCTTCTTTCATGTAAATAGAAGTTGCTGCTCTTGTTGCAAAAATTGGTGTGTTCCTGTAGAGATTTAACTTTCTGCAGAGGAAAGGTAGCATTTASTGACTCACGTGGAGCCTGTTAGAAAAGTTGTTAGAAGTGTATACCTCTATTTAGTTCAGCCTCTTACAGTTGTTTCTTTTACCTCTCTCTGACCTGAGAGTTTATGCATGGCTTCAAATCTAGTAATATCTGCTAAAAGAGGCATCTGGTAGGAATCGTATGCTGTGCTACAGTTCGCTCCCGACCAGGTTTGAATTCAGCTGGAAAATTGAGGAAATACTGTTGACTTTATGCAATCTGTTAACTGCCTTCTGTAAGAATAAAGAATATGTAGATTTTCTGGACTTGGACAAAAGGCACCTTGCAAGGGCAGACAGAGGAAGGGAAGGCGCTGTGATGGCAACCAAGTTCCCTTTTCTTTGGACATGGGTGGGAGGAGGAAGGATAAAACCTAGAGAAAATATTAAACATTTAAGTTAAGATTTGTCAGAATGAGAAATACTGGAGCCATTTAAATTATATGTGCTAATTTTAAGCAGATGCACATGTTTCAGAGCTGTGCRAATTTCAACTGCCTGATGACCTGGACTTTGTGTCCATGTTTACAAAAGGAGGTGGGAGATAGATAAAAATGCTTGTAAATAATTTCAGTATATGTACAATAAACAAAATGCAGAGATGCAAAGAGTCTTTGTAATCAAGACTGATTTATATTTAGATTAAAATTGTGATGAAAAGGTTCTTTCTTTTGACCCCTGCACTGGTAAAATATCTTAAAATTGTCATATAAGGACTGTGTTTCTCAGAACTGAGCTTGCCACTTCTGCAAGCAATTCTGCACTCTGCTTTGCAGTTCAGTTAGAAATCTCTGTCTTGCAGCCTGTCATTTTCATGATAAGTGTTTATTGTATTTATGAATATATGCAATGTAAAAGCTTTGATAAGGAGGATCAAACTGTTGCATATACCCCACCTTAAATTATTTTTTTTAAGATGACATACAGAGGGAATGATTTGCTTCATAAATTCGGGTTGAATTTCCCATTGATCAGAATTTCCCATTGATCAGAAGTTTGTTAGTTCATTACCCCTCATCAGTGTGCTTCTTGTTCTTTGTTGTTATAAAAACTAGGGAAATAGATACCTAAAGCAGTACAGCCAGACTGCAGCAACCAGAGCTCAAGTTCTGCCCACATGCTGTGAGGTAAAGGGTCTTTTGGAATGACCATCCACTGTTGTAGCAACTCTTCTTTTAAAGCTGTGTAAAATCAGAATTTTTTCCCCAGTTATTTTCTGGATTCTAGCTAATAAAACTCAGGGAAGTGCTCTGTTTCCTCTTGCACTTAGTGAAACTATTACTGTAAGAAAAAAACATCKTAGGATGTTCTGTGTCCTTTCTAGAGTGTGAGGTAAGAATATGAAACAGCAGTATAAAAACCATAATTCAAGTAACTTGATTCAGTTAAGTAAATACATCTTAAAACTGCAGTAGAAAGAATTGATTTTTTTTCTAGTTTTTTTTTTTGCTTTTGTTCTTGACTTTGTCTGTTTTTCCTGAAATAACTATTAAGAATTGGAGATAAAGATGTGGATTTTGTCATGAAGTGGAGGAACAGGATTCATATATAGCATTTGTAGCACTGTCTAGAAAGCAGTGCCCTTTCCCAAAGATGGGACATCTCAATTTGCTTTTTTCTTTATGGAGGAAAGTATTACACAGCTTTTCTTTACCACTGGTATTATATCCACTGTATATTCAGTATATGATTTTGCATTTATTTTCTTTGTTATGTAAAGCCTACTTGCAACTGTGCATTTTTGGAGGAGATGGGACTTTAGCCTATCTTTACTTTCTTATAGATGTTCTTTTTTTTTCTGGTTCTGAATTTAATGGATTTGCTTTTGGTATTTTATTTATTTATTTGAAGTTCACAGTTTTGTGTTTTTYTCAGTCAAGTAGGTTTCTAAATGAGATTTCTATGAGCTGTTATTTTTCTCTCTGCAAAACTCTCCTARTGATTTCTTTGTTGTTTTTCCTTTAAACCAAAGTTCAACAAATTCTTTATTTCCCAGTGAAATACCCTTCAAATCACAGGCGGATGCAAACTCATACTCCAGAACTCCTCCCCTAAATTTTAGGAATCAGAACTTATCCTGTATGTGTGAAGAGAAGATTTATGTTTCTTCTCTTTACTAGACAGAGCAATTTTTACAAATCTGAACAATATTTTTTCCTGCTGTGCTAATTAATGTTGTGTCACTTTTTGAAAGGGTTATTGCCTGGACGTCTCCTTTTTTTAATATTTTTCTGAGGCCTTTCCTTTTGCCTTCCCATTGTCACTTATTAATTGCATTGTATGTTTAAATATACATTCTTATACATTGTCCTGTGCTGAAATTTACTGAGGAATTCTTTGACTTTTTTTCCTCTATTTCTTCTCCTGCCAATATTTTATCTCTTTTTTTTTTTTTTTTTCCCTGATTCAATCAATGGTTATTCTTTATCATTCAGTAGCTCTTTGCATTTGGAACACTGAGATTATATTCAGCAAAATCAGCATGTTGAGCTTCAGATTCCTATCGAGAGCTGGTTTGCCGATACCGTTATCTCCTTGGGTTTTCTTTTGCTGGGATCTTGTGATAGTGAGACTATCGCTTATTATCTGCTTCTGTCTTACTAATTGTCCTCTCCTCGAGTGAAATATTTTGGAAAGACCTTAGTTGTACAAGGATTTTGCTCTGGAGATGGATGGAGACCGTTCCCTCAGTAGGGAGAGGGGATGGGTGCCTTGTACCAGGTAAGTAGAGGAATAGGAAAGGTGAAGGTGGACACGTCCTGCCCTCCTGGTGCTGAGCAGACCATGTGTGGTCCTGTGTGAAATGTCTGTTTTACTGGCCACATTGAATATGGTAGCTGCGTGTTGCTGGAGCTGATACCACGAGGTCAGCTAAACCTACGATGTTATTTCAATATAGATCTTAAAGAATTGAGGAGAAAGGTGAAATAAGTAAATGCAATGTAAGGATTGCTTTTAAAYGTATGAGTTGAATTCAGCAGATTACTGTTCTGTCCAAACTGCTCACTTTTTTCTTATCTTCATGCACTTAGAATTTAAATCATGCTTGATCACA